GAAGGTTGTTGGCTCAATCCCCGGCTCCTCCTGCTGCATGTTGAAGTGTCTTTGAGCAAAATACTGAACCCCAAATTGCTCCTGATGCTGTGCATTGGTATATGAATGTGTTAGTTTCTGTTTGATGGAGTTTGCCAGCCCTGTCTGAAAGGATGTATGTGACATGTAGTGTAAAAGCGCTTTGAGTGGTCGGGGAGACTAGAAAGGCATTATACAAGTACAGGTCCATTTATCACTCCATCTGGTCCTCGTGCCTATGTAGTATGAAGACACATTTTTACCAGTTGGCAGCTGGTTTAGATCTGTGAGTGTTTTTAACTGTAGGATTTGAACGCAGAGTGAAGAATTCTATATGGTCAGTCGCGACGATAGGATGCTGTAAGATATCAGAGAAACAAACTGAGCTAATGGCTGAAGGAATCCTAGGTGGGAGAAGTTGACTGCAATGGTGGTGAAGACAACAACTCCCATGATCCCATGCTGCTTCCCTACGTCATCAAACTTCCTCTTTTGTTATTGTCTTTATGTGGAGGTGTAATGACATCTTTTAAAATGTTAAGTAATGTAACATTATGTAGCCTATGTAAATGTAAAACTTATTTGTTTTTAATTGTTGTCTTTTTGTATTTTTAAATATTTATATCACATATATTCTGTACACATCATCATGAGTCTGTTCAGCAAAACTAATTAATGCAAAACTACAATATTTGTATTTCAAGAAGAAAATGCTTCCACTGCTACCACTGCGTTCATGATTTACATCTGCAGAGACTGCCCAAAGCTGGTGGTAATTGAATTCTGCGTTCAAGAAATATGGCAGGGTTATACTAATGGCCAGAAATTGGAGCTATAGTTTGTAGAACTGGATGAATTCCCATAAAGTTTATTGGGCCACGCCTTCAAAGGTTGGTAACCAATTACAGACGATAAGTAAAACCTATAAGTCTCATTCGGCTTCATCTAAATATGCTATGTACTGATTTTGCTGAAGATTAGATGAAATATGTGTCAAAACAAACAAATGTTTTTAAGGGATGAATGGGCGTGGCCTATATCAGTTAAATTGGCCTTATCCGAGGAACCCACTATACAAAAACGTTTCTTCTACTACTGTTAGTTAATGAGTTATTTGCAAAAATGTAACACGCTTAATAACTGACCACATGGTGGTAAAATAGACAGTACAGACCTCTGCCCTGTATCTACACTAATGACATATGCCCTGTATCTACACTACTGTTCTCTGTCCTGTATATATTCTGACTTGTGTATCTTAGTATTATTGTCTAACAGGCACAATAAAAAAATGTATTAACTGTCTCTGAAAGACAGTTGACACTAGACCTGATTGAAAAAGGAGACTTAAGTGACAGCACAGCATGTCTGAAATGTCTGCTACTGTTAAAAATATATTAGTAGTGACACCAATTATGAACTGCTGAAGGTGTACTCAATCACTGAATCAAAGTTAGCTCAAGCGGTTCAATCTGGCAAGATACTGAACCCCAAACTGCTACCGATGCTGTGCACATGAATGAAACTAATGACTGTTAGTTTCCATTTGTGATGGGTCATCACTGTATAAACTTGGGTGGCACGTAGTGTAAAAGAGCTTTGAGTAGTTGGAAGACTAGAAAGGTGCTGTACAATTACAGTCCATTTACTATTTAATGTCAGAATGGCTGCTGTGGAAAAGGTTTATTCTGGCTCTTTTTAGTGATCCAGTTTATTTGACTCATCAGTAAGAATCAGCTATTCATTTAGTTGCACTTCTCTATAAATTTAGTTATATTTTGACTTCTGACTGGTTTGTGTGCACATAATTTCCAGTGTGGATGATTTAGTGGCATCTAGTATTGTATTTGCTGAATGCATTTCACTTGCTTCACCCTCTCTTTCCAAGCAATATAAAATATGAAAAACATGAACGTCTCTATCTAGATCCAGTGTTTGGCTTGTCAGTTCTGGGCTACTGTAGAAATATGGCAGTTCAACATGGTAGGCTCCGTAGAAGAGGACCTGCGCCCTCATATACCTATGAATATTTTATTACAGTAATATTACACACTGGAGCTTTTGTATATTTGATGTAATTATGCTAAACCTTGTCCCTCCCATATATACAAAGTTACATTTTATTTATATTGAAATATATTTTGTATGTTGGTGACCGCTGCAACATACAAAAGTCTCACGATGCTTGGGTCTTAATGTTACCAAAGGGGGACATGTTTGTATTGTGTTAACAAAGAACTGTACATTATAGGATCATCCTGTTATTGTGTCATGAATTTATATTAAAACAGATCCAGTCATTCACTTAAAGGAGCTGAATAGAGCTGGTTCATCAGTGCACTCTGACATTTTGCTGTGTTCTCAGGACACTGGAATAATGAAACACTTTGAATTATTCAGCACAAACTAATAAATAATCTCTCTCTCTCTCTGTTTGACTCTGTTAAGGCTGACTCGTCCTAAAGTAGATTTACCTTCAATCACCATTTATTAAATCTCCATCCATTAAAGAGCAGCATCCTCTAATCCTGATTACAGAGGAGGACGGGGTCTCTGTCCACCGCTCACATCCCATCCACAGACGCCTGAACACATTACTAAAGGCTGGACTGCAGTAGGACCACACGAGGACCAAACAAGGACAAAACAAGAACCGCAGGACAAGAGGAGATAAAGAGAGAAGAAACAAGAGAGGAGGCAGGAGGAGACAGGAGGAGGATGACCGTGGAGGACAGCTGAACTGGACGAAGATGGACAGCAGAGGGAGGAGAGGAACTAACGGATCATTCAAACGTTCTTCCATCAAACGCAGTGCGTCTTCTGGCTCACAGAAGGTCAGGCTGAACATTCAAACTTTATTTTGATTAAATTAGAATGATCCAAATGTTAGATTTCCTCAGTGGAAACAGTTTCTCCTCAAACTATATATATATATAATATTTTTATGAAAAACAGGAAATGAAAGCAGAAACAGATGTTAGTGAATAAAAACATCATAAAGGTAGAAATTAGTAAATAGTCACAAATCATTTTTATAAACACATTTCCCAAAACTGAAGTCCCGTCTAAACCTGTCTGATCAAGCGATGGACACGATGCCTGCTTTCTTTGCTAATGTGTGACTCAGATCTTTTAATGTCAGTGTGAACAATTCAAATCACACAGAATCTGATCTTTTCAGTTCTGATTTGGGACACATGCATATCTGGACCGAACTAAAGCTTTAATTAAGCCCTGAAAATCTGTCCAGAGACTGACCTGAACCTGAAATCAAAACATTGTGGTGAAAGTGTGAAAGTTTGTGTTCAGCAGGTGTTTGATAAATTGATCATACATTGTCCTTTTTGTTGCACTGCATAATGAGCATTGTCGCGGTTAACAGCAGTTAATAAGTGTGTTTCATTACCTTCACTGTGCTCTCTGCTCTGAAGTTGTACTGCAGTCCACTCAGTGTGAATAATTATGCAATCTATATGACTGTCAGTGGTGGTCAGATGTAAATGGGTCAATATTCATATAAAGTGCCTTTGAGACTTCACAATTTCCAAAAGAATAAGCTGTGATTTTCCATTTAATTTCATATTCATTGTATTAAGTAGACCTTAGGCTGTTAGATATTAATGTTGGTCATGCTCCTGCACTTTTTTGGGGGGCTTTTATTGCCTTTAATCAAAATTAAGCAGAGATGATGCGCAGCAAAGGGCCACACAGCCACTGCAGCACAGACTCAGTCCTGGTACATGGCAAGCCAGCTCTGCCTTGTGAGTTACCAGGACACCCAAACTCCTGCACAGTCCTGCAAGGAATAACCTTTATTCAGACAGGAAGTTCTTTGAGATTGAAGACCTGGCCGAGTCAGCACACAAACAAACATCACACACACAAAGAAAGGACTAAATCTTGCTCAAATAAGGCAGTTTCATTTCTCAATTAAATGGAGAAATTTAAATTCTTCGAATGGGACCAGATCATTAATATGTAGTAAATTTAGCAAATTATTCCAAGTCCAGGGAGCACATTTAAATACATAAATACAAATAAACTCCATGTTAAAATACAATAAATACATTTTCATTGCACACTGATTATAAAATGTATTTAGTCTTTTGATAGTATGAATAATAATGAAATTACTGCAAAATATTTGTTTACCTATAAAGTCTGTTAACTGAAAAAATAATACATACAAGACTGCTGCAAAACCCCCACTTACGATAGGTTAAAGCAATATGGCAGTATCAATAACAACAGAAAACAGCTGATAAACGGAACAATGAACACAACAGTGAACACAATAACTGCAGGAAGGTTTATTATTTCCTGTGAATATTGTTCAGATCAACATTAGACATCTGCAGTACGCAGTATAAAATAATATCTTTATTAATGAGGCCTTTCTAAACTGGAGAGACTGAGCTGTTTTTATTTTACATGCTGAGGACTGTTTGTTCAGGGTTAAATGACTTCATGTGATTCTGCTTCACAAACACAATCAACTGTTTCTGTACTCACACAAACATGTGACTGAAATCAGACCACTGCAACATTTCAACCCCGAACAATTCACTCGAATACTGAGAGAGTTTTGATAAAAGAACATCTGAGACATTAAACTCATAGCACATCTTTCATCTACACATAAAATCTATGTACATCGTCTTTAAAATAAAATATAAGGATCATATGTTTAATGATCAGTATCTGTTTATCATTGAGGGGTTGAACAGTTGTTGTTGCTGATAATCAATATTACTTCTATCAATTCTATCAATTTTACACTGGTTCTCTGCCCACTGGTGCTGAAGTTAAAACTGGGTCCAGTCGGTTTCTGTTTCCTCCTCTGTGATTGGTCGACAGCTACAGGTCCACTTTCTGTGCGCTGTGATGTAAGAGCTCATTAAAGTAGTTTCTGAACATCATTAATCTCATTTAAACCCTGATAATCCAAATCCCGCTCTCTCTGTTCATTGTTCTCAGCTGCTGTTAATCTCATTCACAACTTTAACACTCACATGAAGCACAAGATTAGTTCAGATCGACTTTATTGATCACACAGAAGCTCCAGATACAAACAGAACAACAAATATAAAACTCACAGTTTTATATGTGACACAATATTTATAAACACAAGTCATTATTTTTAAATGTATTTCTATAATAAATATAATTTCTAACACGTTGGCGCTGATTTCAATGCTGTAAAATGATATAATTATAATCACCGTTTTTATGTGACGTTTTATAAAAACGTCTAAAAACATAATTTATTCAGGCACAGTTTTATACTTCATATAATGACATTAATATAAAATAAATTAAACAACAAATAAATGAAAACATTACCTTACATTTGAAAGTCTAAATTTAATTTAATAGTTTAAATACTTTATTAAATTTTAACCAATTTCAGATATTTAAATTTAAGTGTTCATTTGTTGTCAGAATCAAATCTGTCAAGTATAAAAGGAGGGTTATCATTGGGTGAATATTTTGCTGAGATGTTAATCAAGTTCGTTATGTACATTTATTCTGCAGACAAGTTCTTAAAAATTAATAACGTGTCATTCTTTGTTGTAACATGAAAACAACTAAATACAAATAAAGAGTTTCTTCTGTAATTTACAGCTGGAAGAAATGAGCGACGTAGCTTTAGCAATGTGAACTATCTTTATAATAACTCTGGTTAAGATCATGTTTTATGTTGGAATATAAGCATCAATATTAATAATTAATTAATTAATTAAAAATGTATAATAATATAATAATATTCTCCATCTGATTTCTAAGTGTTAGATCAGTTGCTGCTGCTGGTTGGGGTCCTGCTCAGGGACTTTGGACTCTCAGGTCAGTCTGAGTCCTGGTTGTGGATCTGATAGTACTGATATTACTGAAGTAATACATAAAATAAATACAATAAACAAGGTCAAACTGGAGGGAAGAAAGTGGACTCAGCTGTTGGAGGTTTGTGGGGGATTTCTTAAAGTAGATTTGTTAAGTCTGGGTCCTGGTCTGCATGAAAATACTCGATGGGTCACAAGACTTCCAGAAGGATTACCTCGGACCGGAGTCATGAGATCGGCTCCAACAAAGAGCCCTGCTGCCTCACATGATCCTCATATGAACCCGCTCAGCTGCACACAGTCAGACCAGGTCCTATCTGCTGCACCAAGGCTCCGGACCAGGTCCTCAGAAAGGGTCCTGGTCCACAGTTTGGACCTGTTTGCACACAGAGACCTGTGGAGGCTCAGGTAGATGAGGTGTTGCTGCGTCCTCACAGTTTATGATTCTTCTTCTGCTGCATTTGTGGAGACGATCAGAGGTTTGTTGGTTTGTTGGATCAAAGTTTGTTCATTGGAGAGAAAATGTTTGCAGTTTGCCAGCAAAGTACTGAAATGTTTACAGTTTCTTACTGTAGTTTAGAATTACAGTGTTACACAGTTTGGAAATGTACACGTAATAATAATTAACAAATTACAAAGGGACAATATTCCTTATGCAGTTTCTATTTATTTATTAAAATAGAAATATGTCACAGTACAACACCAGCAAAACCAGACCTGAATAAACCAGAGCAGTCCTCTTTGTCGTTCAATCTTTTATTTAAAGGACCCTTCTGTATTCACACTCATTAAACTAAAGTAAAACAGTCATTTCCTGACAAAACTGTGACCAGTCCTGTGTTGTAAATTTACAAGAATATAGTGATAGTAATAATGAACTTTATTTCTAGTAATACACTGTAATGTAAAATTATACAGTACTTTGCTGTCAAAACTGCTGCCAGTTAATTTCTGTAAATTTACAGTGAAAAGTCACAGTGCAGCCGAGAGGGCTGCGTGGCAGCGGCGTTCTTCATGGCGTAGGAACATCACAGATACAGGAAGACATCCTAAATGTGATCATGTCTCATTTATTTCACAGCATTTAGTCTCGTGTTTGTCATGTGATTCTTTTGGTCGATGACTATGATGGTTAGGGCACTGCAGTTAGCTTAACACCACTAGCTACTGCACAACTGTCTCTGTCTGACAGCAGTTAGGCTCCGCCCACAGAGAAGGTCAATAGATTTTGGCTTCCATAAGAATGAACCGAGCTGTGTCCATTTCTTCCTTAATACATCCACAGTTTGAACTGTTAGCTTAGCATTAACATAGGATGTTGCAGAGGTACTCTGTGTTAAGTCCAGTCCATTTTGGTCCAGCAGACCTCCTGAAGAAATTCACCGCAAAGTTTAATTGTTTAATATTTATATTATGAATTAGTTTTCACTGATTGATTTCCTGTTAAATCCTGAGAAAATGTAATGGAGTTTGGTTGGGTCCTTACTGCTGACTTTAGACTCCAGGTCAGTGTTGATAAACTGTGGTTGTTGTTTTGATGGTCAGAAACGCTAGTAAGGATGACGATGATGATGATGATGATGATGGTTCATCGTTCACGTGAAAAGGACAATGCATCTGCAGCTGGTGTGGCATTGACAGTTAATCCTCCATCATGCAGAGTGCTCAGACACAGTGAGTCATTAGTGCTGTATGGACGGACGCACATTTAAAGGACTCTTCTGTGAGGTTCTGGGCGCAGCAATGACAGCGGGATTAAACAGATAAGAGGATTTAAAGCAGAAATAAATGGAAAGTTCAACTCTGCCAGTAATTAGCCAGATCCATTCTTCAGCTGCAGCTGGCAGGGAATAGACAGAAATCAGTTTATTATTATTATTGTTAAAATTTGTAGTATTATTAATATTATTACTTTTATTATTATTTTTGTTGTTATTGTTATTATTATCATTAAATAAAGTTTATAATTGAATAGTTCTGATGAAAGAGAAAAAAATTTATTCATTTAATTCATAAAAATCACTGCCGTTGACTTCCTTTCCTTCGGCTGCAGTGTTTGTTAACCAGTTATTGGTGATCAATATTCATTTGTGTTTTCTTCCTGTTTGTGTTAAGACGCAGAGAGCGTGGATAGAGAGAACTTTCCAGAAGAGAGAATGTGTCCAGATTATTGTCAGCAAAGACACCAGCAGGTACGACACAGTAATAGTATTTTAGTTATAATTGACAGGTCATTCTCAGTCAAACTAGACATTTGCCATTGTTTTCTGCAGTGACATAAACAAGTTTGTTGTTCAGGTGCAGTTGTGGTCAGCTGGTGACCCAGCACACCTATGTCCTACCAGGGGCCAAAGAGGAGGGGGGCCCCCTGGTTCAGCTGGAGGTCCAACCTGCAGAAAGATGGAGCCCCCTCAAACACACCCAGACCTCCCCCACCGACGCCTACGGGATCACTGAGTTCCAGGGAGGAGGACACGTCAACAAGGCCATGGTGCTCCACACACTGCATATCACACTGCGTATCACACACTGCGTCACTGCGTATCACACACACTGCATCACTGCGTATCACACACACTGCGTCACTGCGTATCACACACTGCGTATCACACACACTGCGTCACTGCGTATCACACACTGCGTATCACACACTGCGTATCACACACACTGCGT